TTGTAGTTTATGATTTGTTGTTTTGGCATGAGCTGATCTGATTACTCTTTAATACAGAAATGTGGGATAAGCACGCAAATAAATTAATTAAAAGGCTATCTCTGAATTTGCAAACTGTGATTTTCCAGAAGCTGGTATGACATATGCACCAGGCTCATTCCACAGAGTAATTTAAATTTGCATATCATTTCACACTCTCCTTCCTCACCACAAGGTAGGTAGAGAAGGTCAGTCTTCTTGTAGGTAGAGTACAACTTATGGTGTGTCTAACACACATGTATGCAAACAGGAAAGCGCCCAGACAGTAGTAGTCTTCAACAAGCACTGAAACAAGTGGCATATCCCTGCAGTGCCTCCCAGAATCCCTCTGCCAGCTGCAAAACAAGCTATGCAAAAATAAGAGAAATTGCATAAAAGGCTCTAAATTTGCCTTGTTAAAGGGGGCACACATGGTTTTTTTGGTGAACAATTTCTTTGCATGGGTGTAACATTTTAAGTATTTTAGCTCTAAATATATAAATACCTTGGGAATCTATAGTTTTCTTGTTCTACAGCACTGCATGCTGTAGTGGATCTTAAAGCAGCAGCAACACACATCATATTTTTCACTTATTTTTCATATTATTGTATACCAACCTATTAAATTTCTAAAAAGGATGTGGCATCGCTGACTTCCTTGACAGGAACAACCTGTATTTGTTAAACTGTGGAACAGATTACAAATATATCTTTTGTTTCTTGGGCTTTCTTCAACTGATCATCATGGCAGAGCAAGAATTCTGTACTTCTTCCATTGAATAGTTTTAACCTTTATCAGTTAGGATTTTGTATGACTATGTTTTATATGATTGACTATCCTATTAACATGTTTGACAGAATTAATTGGTTATAAAGTAAAACAAAAGAGAATGTCAAGACTGCAAAGAAGTTTTAAAATTGCCTTCACTTTTACCTTTTCCAGGGAATATGAGCATGAATCAATTCAGTTTCTCTTTAATATTTTTAAAGACTGCTGCAAATACCCACATTTTTAAAGCTGAGTTACAAATTGAGTAGTAATAACACATAAAGAGAAGATTGCATTTATAATTACAGAATCAGTAATAGAAAAGGGAGTGGCAGCAGTGGTGGAAGGTGGACAAGCAAAGTGCTTTTACCTCTAAAATTCAGCTAGGTAAATATCAAGAACCAAGTTCAAAACTGAATATACTGCAGGCCAACATGAGCAAAAATTACCTTTGATGTTCCTTTCCTACTTCCCATCCGTGCATAACAAAAATACAACTGGTTCAAATAACAGAATCCATACCTGACTTTGCTCAAAGCCAGAAATGTGTTCCTGATACAGCAATGGTCAGGATATCCTGCATTTGATACTCAACCAGGTTAACGGTCCTAGCTTTACTATAACCAATTAAAAGAGAATAGCCATAAAAGTGCAGATACTACCGTAGGGTAATAAACTAGACCTTATCGTTGACAGCGGTGTGCATTACTAACTTCAAACTCATTCCTTGTCCTAATCCATCAGAAACTTCCTGGCTTTAATAGGCTATAAATGGCAGAAGCTTTGAAGTCCAAGGATTAGGAACCGTAATAGACAGACTGAATGAAAGACTTAGTGAAGCCAAGTTCTGCTGTCCTACCAAAGAGCTAGGTGGAACGAACTGTATGCATTTGAATTAAAACAAATTAAATTAAACCCCTCAACAGCAGACCAGGAGATTCCACAAGCTATCCAAGTGTTAAAAATACATAGATGAAGGGGGTAGTTGGCGGTCACATAAGAAAGTTATTAAAATACATACTTATTAGAAAATAAGGCTAGATAACTCTCAATAAGGAAACAAACCTATGACCTTCAAGGCCAATTATTTTTTGCATCAATGATTTAAAGATGTTTTCAATAGCACATAAACCAAGAAAGGGTTTTACTATAAACTATCCTAACCAACAGAATTTTTGGTTTTTAAATGGTTCAATATTACTTGACAGCACCAATTTTGCTATCAATTAGTTCAGTTTCATACAAAACCTATGATTAAACAAATGAACATACAGCAGCAGGAAAGAGATAGCAAGAAGCTGCTTGAGCTAAAGAAGCCCAGTGATCGTTCAGTACAGGTCTCAAGTTACTTTACACTTTTTAACAGTGCTTCAGTTGTACAATACATTTATTTAAAAAAAAAAAAAAACTTGTACCCTCTTCACCTCAAAAGTGGGGTCCAGAGCAGTGTAGCAAGATAATACAATATAGCAACAATAAAACATAGTTTAAAAATCTATTCAAATTGGTGGTGGTGGGGATTAAAAACAATTCATCAACCAGCTAAAGATCATACTGGAATATTAAAATCTAGGCAAATTAAATCCTTTAAAATTGGTACCTAGAGGAATACAATACTGCTACCAGGGAAGGCATTCCAGAGTAAAACGCAACAAAACAGTAGGATAAAATTGCAAATAAATGCAATGATCTATCTCACACAAAACAACTAATCATGGTTTAATTAATTAAACCATGGTTGATAGGGCTGTGACTAAGCAGAAATGCTGGTTCTGTCCCTTTGATGCTTCCACTTTGTGGCTGTTTTCACAAGTAACACAGGAACACTCCATGGCACTGTTGTCATTCTGTGGGTATCATTATGTGTGAATTTGGTAAAAAAGTATCCAACTGAACCTCCCCCCCGCCCCCCCGGAGTGACTTACATGGTTTTTAAAAGTCTGGAAGAATAAAAAGGTTTTCAGCAAACTGAACATCAAATAAACCTTCATAGAAAAAACAGACGAAGAAAGGCCATCACAACTACAGTTTTTGACCTAATAACCAGAAGAGATGCACTCACGGAACAGTGTCAGGCAATCTCAGATATACAGAGGACTAGAACAGAGGAAGGTGGCCTAACAAGTTGCCAAGCCCTAAGAGCACTGAAGGCAAGTCACTATGAATTGAGCTCAAAAATGGAACACTTTCAAATACTGACAAAACATGGTCCCATTGCCAATCATGTAAGTCTACAGGGTACCTATCTTCCCAACTTGCCAAAATGTATCCTCATTCAGAAGTAATGCAATTTTGCCATCCTGTGTATTGTCCTTGCTATTTTCTCTCCAAGTATCATGAAGAAAATATTTGGGGGGTTGACCTGCCTTAGTTGCATTACCTGTTCCGTGCTGGCAAGCTGGGCAACCACTGGCAAGCTGGGCAATTTATGCCAAAATCCAGCCCAAAACTAGCACAAAATGGATTCAGCTAATCAGTCTCATCTAAAAGTTCCAGGAGTTGTCCAGCTGCTACCCACCTAAGCTTCTTTACCAAAAATGGGCATTTTCACAACCAACCAGTAAACGTTATAATATTTAGTGTCTAGAGGGCTTCTATTGAGGAGTGATCTTGCAGCTAACACTTTTAACAGGTCTGGGACTGCTTGAAGTACAAGATCCAAAGAAAAGCAACAGGTTTTATTTTCCCCTCCTCCCTCCTGCAATCCATGCTCAAGAGGACATCCCAGATCTGCCCTGGCGCACATCTTGAACATATTCAGGGGCTGAAAGGGAGGAAGGATAGTAGTTCCGCCATTGGGATCACTTAACTGGATACTACCCCAAATATTTGGTACTTCTGTATCCTGCCAGTGAGTCCATGCCTGCTAGATACAGTAAGTCAAGAGGGGCAATGAGCAAGGAAACAGATGGTAAGCAATGCCCACCATCTTGCTGCAACTTAAAATCATCTTCCAAAACAGGGTTAGGGTTCTCTAAGACATCTCCCCAGACAGTACTGCAGAATTTGTAGCAGCCAGGTTGAAGTGACTGTAAATGGATTAGCAAACATGCCATAGCATCTCTCTCTTTCATAACTCTGCAGGTCAAAATTTGGAAAATTTCTGAAGGAATAGTTTGGTTTAATAACCCCCTTCCCATTTGGTGTTACTGTCCATTAGCAGGGCTGAATTCCTGCCCTTCCTGGTCCCTGCCAACTTGCCTGCTTATTTTAATTCATACAAAGAAAGCACAGTGGCTCAAGGCTATTGTCACAAGGAAGATATAAAGAAGTGCTATTACTTTCCAAAATGCCTTCATACATTTTTGAAATCAAGCAAATCAAAAGTATACAACAAGTCATGTTGTAATAGAAACTAGATACTGAAATATAAACTAGACTTGTAAATTCCATGAGTTCAAGGCAAGAACACTGCCTTTGTTCACCACTGGTAGATAAAAAGGCAATTTGGAAAGATTTATTACAACATACTAGAGCTTATATAGTAATTTCATGAGACAACGGAAGTGTATTGTTATTTAACTTATTTTAGTAAGAATTTGCCCTGTTCGTAAGATCAATAGTACAATGAAATGCTAACAACAATTAGTACTTTGAAAAACAGCATACTCTCAGACACCACGGTTGCTCCTGAGAGAAAATCTAACTCAAACAACTGGTAAATTTTTGATGACTGGTTTGCCAAAGAAGAAAAACTTCCACTGGCAAATACAGTTGTGGTTTATGGCTGAAAAGAGCAGTGCCCATTATTTTAAGTGCATATTTTCCTTTTATAGTAATATTTCACAGTTTGCCAACTGTATGATCTAGTTTGTGATTTTGAAAATCTGATCATGGAAGCTGCACAACTTGTTTAAGGAGACTAAGAAAGAGGAATAGTTGTTATGAATTAGAGAAAAATGACATAAATCACCCCAGAATATATTTATTTGGATTTCTATTTTGCTTCCCCACTCCCAGTTACATATTGTGCTGAACACTAAAAATGAACAGGACCTTCAACTCTCATCATCCTTAGCCAGTATGACTCTTGTTGGTTACCTGGTTTGCAAAGGCTGGCTTAAAGCCTTAGATTTGGGAGAGTTCTTAAAAGAGCAGAATTTCACAATAGGCAGACAATCACAAAATCAAATCCAGGTGCATCAATATGATGGTCAAAAGGTCTCCAGAGTGTATTGGACCCTAGCATGTTAAAGAACTTTGTACAACTTACCTTCTGGGGGAATTTTATTCTGGTTGTTCCAAACTACTAGCAACTTGGAAAGGCTTGGCACCTTTGAGACTTCAGTGATAACTCTAAACAGACTCTCAACCCGATCATAGGTCAAGACAATAGCGGTGAACCCTTGTGACTGAGGAGGGATGAGTGGAAGAAAAAGTGGATTGCTCACACTGCTCCATTTCTGTAAGACAAAAGATGTGAGAGCAAATTAAGGTCTCTAAGCTATAACAGGAAATATAGATAATGCATCTTCCATAGTTAAGGTCAATCTGATCTCTTTTAAGAAACACTTTAACTGCTTTCAGAGGAGATGGGACTGGGCTTTTAAAAGCCTGCATTTGTGACAGGACAGTAATCTCTGCTAAACCAGTTCTGTGTATTTTCAGGTCATGAGCAAACTGTTGAATACATTCAGGTATGTTGGAAAAAAGGCAGAAAGAAAGATTAGTAGAAGGCACACTAGAGGGTTTTAAAATCCAGCTATCCTGGCTTGCTTCTTTCCCACATCTCTTTCCAGAAGGGAGCTTATATTAATTCAAGCTAGGCCAACAAACAAAAACCTAAGTTGGTGCCACAACTTTTGGGGGGAAATGAAGTAAAGAGAAGCACATTCATAAACTTGACACAAAATGGGCACAAATAAAAAAGAAAACACAGTCTTCATTCAATACAGTAGGATAAAATGCAAACTTCAACAAAAATAGGTTTGTTCTATGGCCTTAACAAGTTTGCCATTTAAGCACTTGAAAAAATGCAAGGAGAGAGGCAAAGAACAACTTCAAAATTATTTACTTTTTGTAGTAACATATCCCCTAAAAACTTTTTGAAGACTGGTTTTTTTTTACTACTGCCAGTCAGCATAAGGAAGCTAATTATACTGGTACAGCTGCAAAACAGTAAAGTAACAAGGACCATGAGACAGATTCACAACAGCATCTGCCTTTCCCACTCCTACTGACAGCCCAAGTACAATTAGAAAAAATAAGAGAATAATATTGATAGCAAAAGATTGGACACATTTATGATATTCTTAAGAAACATTTTCAGTTCTATAAAATTTGGTTGTTGGGACAACTTGTAAGAGGCCAGTCTAGTGAGGGTGTGGGTAGAGAAAAGGGAGATCTGTGTGGGCAGAAACTTTGAATATAATACATTCTGTAGAACAGGGATGGGCAACAGTAGAGACCCAGAGTCCATTTTTGGCTCCCTAGACCTACCTCCAGACTACACCCCTGCAGCACTAAAAGAATCAAAACTAACTTGCAAACAAGCACATTTTCCCCTTTTGGTCCTCCAAAGATGCTACAGATACTTTTTTTTTTCCTTCAAAACACCTCATTCCTGATTATGGAGGCAGTGGTATGGCAAAGGCCCAACAGGTAGTTCATATTGCCAACCCAACTAAAGAATATTACATCTATTTGAACAGTTCTGAAGGTGAAATAACTTACAGCAAAATAAATTCTTTTGAAAAAAAAAATGCATAGCAAGGCCCACTCATACACATGATGAGCAGTATAAAGTTCTATAAAGGAAAGGGACTGCTGATATCATCAGGTTTCACAAAGCTTTACGATCAGATTTTCAGTGCCCAACATTCTAAAGCTGCAGATATACGGTAACAGTGAGATCAATGACTGATAGAATCGTGTGCAAACTATTGGGCTTCCTTGGATAAGACAAGGGAACATGGGAATGCTATATACTGAGAAGGACAACTTGTCCCTCTGGCACAGTATTATACACTTTGGATTGGCAGTAGTTCTCCAGGATTTTAGGCAGGGATTTTTCCAGTCCTTAATGCAAAGTATGTATACTGTACCACTTTTCCCCTCAAGATCATATCTCAGTTGCTAGTATGGCATTAACATCATTATAGCCGCACTTGAGGTTGGTTATTTTAGCAATGTATATCCTGCTTAATCAACAGCAGCTAAAAGAGTTACTGCAATACCAGGGTACATCAACAGCAGTATAATACAGAGTAAGGTTGCAACTCTATTCTGCCTTGGACAGAACTCATTTGAAGTATTACATCCAATTCTTTGCAAGAATACTGGCATATTGGAATATATCCAGAGGTGGATGACAAAGATGGTGAGGTGCCCGAAGACCAAGTCCAGTAGGGAAAGGTTAGGTATGTTTTACTAGAAGAGGGATGACAGCCACCTTCAATACTTGCAAGTCTGCCACATACAGAATGGTACAAATTTGTTTTCCTTGCCTACAGTGGGTAGCATCCAAATCAGACTTGCAAATTACAAGAACAATTAGATCAAGTAATACAGCCATGGTGATATGTTTAAATCAGTGGTCTGTGCTGACACATTCCAGGCACCATTAGCTTAGTAATTTACCCTGTTATGTTATCTGAATGCAAGCACAGCAAGGCTTGTTTGATGGGGAAAACACCCTCAAATAATCCATGGCCTGTTGCTGGGTTATTTAAGGTTTATTTTCCCTCTCAAACACGTTATGCCACCTGAGTTTGGATGACATGATGAACTGTGGAGCACTCTGCCTATTTAAAGAAGTTACTTACTTCTTTAAAGTAGTTAAAATAGCTTACTTGAGTCATGGTAGCTGGTCTGATCATGTAATTAAATACCTTTCTTTTGCATATGTCAAAACATCAAATAATCAATAATAAAACTACAATTATCATCAAAATTTGAGAAAACGTAAGCAAAAGAGAGCAAGTGAATGAACACAACAGAACCTGACTATGCCCCAAATCAATAAGAAACAACAGAACCATTGCTTCTTCAGGAAATGGTATCACTGGCAAGCTGGAATGCCTACTGGTTGGCAAATTCTCAAGCCAGAAGCAGCGGGTGGGGAGCTATTCAGAAGTAAACTGTTCTAATTTAGTTCTTGTTCTTCTGCTGATCAATGAATGTGCATACCACGGATACAGCACAGGGACAAATGGTGAATAGTACACATAAATGACTGATGGAAATGAAAGAACAGAAAATTCTTTAGGTATTGTAGCAAATAAGCAGTCCAACTCACTGCACATGGCATAATTTCAGCAGCAAACCTCACTTTGCAGCTCCTGAAAATGCAGCAAATGCCCACACATTACTGAAGATTCTGATACGTTCCTTTCTGAACAACATAAGGAAGACAGTATTTCCTCTTGGTATTATAACTGTGACAACTTCCAATAGTATATTCAATATGTTTCTCATAAATATCAAATATATTTCTGAATAATGAAACTTGAATGTCTGGTCTGGATAAGGAATCTTAAGGTTTAGCCAAGCTGTGCCATTTTGTTGAATAAAGACTATTGTATTGTTGAGATGTAATCCCAATTTTAAAAAAAAAGAGGTAAGAGGGAATCTATGAAGTCTCTTTTATATTAAGTAGATGTTACCTTTTAAGATCTTGACAAAGATCTATGTGAATCAATATGTTATGTTGCCCTGCTGCCCATCAGTAAACCTCCCAAAATTGTGTCCCCTTCATCTGAGAGTGACATTTCAAAAGGGCATTTAGGCACTGCTGAAGCACCATTAAGAGCCAGCCCCCTGCTGCCTGCTTGAAAAGTGTGTCTACAGTCTGGGACCTCTTGACCTCACTTTCGGCAGGAAATTGGGCAAATTCAAACCTCTATGATTTACTTGTGTCTTTCAGACTTCTGTTGGAGAAAGGCAAACAATGCAGGTAATTAACTCAACAGACGCCTAATTAAATCCCTATTATGGAAGTAGGACATGAAATTGATAGTGACATAAAGAAGGTTCTTCCCAGTGCTGGAGAGTGCAACAGCAAACATTCATTTCAGGCACATCTAGTTCTCCTATTGGAGACCCAACTGAATGCTCATTCTCCACTTCCCCACCAAAGCAACTGGTATTGATGGTGTAATCATCCATCACTTTCTTTGACAAAGTGCTGACGTTCAGGACAATCCTACCCTATCCCCCTTTCTCCACCCTCAACCAGCTAATATTCATTACAGGAGCCATAATAATTAACCCACAACTGATAGGCTATTTATTGTGAATCAGTTTTATGCACAAGTCATATCAAGTTGCAAGTGTCAACTTTTCAACAATGATCTCACATTGCTCGGTCTGGCATTCCTGGCTGTTTGACAGCGGTCTCCTTTCCGCAGACAGCAACAGAAGCCAAAGCACTGGAATCCAGAACCCAAGTGGGAGGCTGGGAAACTAGCCTAGCTTTTTTTATTTTTTTAAGAACATCTTTGCAAGAAACAACTCATGTGTGTCAGATTGCCATTAACAAACAACTATTTAAAGTTTCCATTTGCTAGCGGAGAATGAATTTCCTTTGCTTTGGACTAAGTAAAAAATTCTTCTTCTGCTTTAACTGCCTATAGCATGTCTATTTTAAGAGGCAATCAAGGAATAAAAAAGGTACCAAAAGGAACTTATGGAATTCTCTTCCCCCAAACTAAACTTAACCCAATAGGGAATGAGAAAATCTTATCAAATAAGAACTAAACTTGTGAGACCTGAGTGAGAATATAATGTGGCAGGTTTCCCAGTAATTAATTTATAAATAAACTCATTTTAGTAATTGCTTCTGACAGCATCTCTCCAAAACAAATAGCTAAACATCAACAGTTGAAGCTACTGAAATGAGAACAAGATGGTGATGATGTGTGCCAACCCATATTATGTTCTGCTGAATTTTGGACTGTTGTGACGTGTGAATATAGGTACATTAAAAAACAAAGGGTTGTTAACCATGAACAACCCAGAAAGAGGACCCATGGGTTAGGGTTCTTGGGTTGTTTAAACCAGGGCTGAGGAGTCGGAGTCATGGAGTCAGGAACAATTCTTGGGTTACTGGAGATGGATTTGGTAAAAATGTGCTGACTCTGACTCTAATTTTGTTAATAATATGTTAAAAATTCCTATTTCACAGATAATAATTTGATTAACCTATTTTTCAGGTTATACTTTCAGGATCTACTTTAATTTTATATAGTGAAAGTGGTGCCCATAAAAAATTCACAATGGCAAAAAAACGTGAACACAGTAGGCTGTGTTTGAACACTTTACAATAACAACAGAATTAACAGGGAATATTATGTGTGTCGATGATTGTGGAAAACCATGTGTTGCAAAAATTAGTAGTTTTTTGTTTCTAATAAAAATGCACCTACACGAGGATCAAATTTAAAAAGACATTTGCAGAGTTTTA